CTGATAAATGAAAAATTAATCTTTCGCAACATTTTTCCCCCCGGCCTCTTATTTCCCCCCTCCCCCCTCCCGCCTTACTCAGCCGGAATAATATCATTATCCTGACAGACTATCCCCGTAATGTTCTATTGAAAAATGTCCTCCGTTGTCCACTCCCTCAATCCTTTCCGTTCATTGCCACTCCCTCAACCATACCTCCACAGCTCCAAAATTCAATTCTCTGAATTTTAACAAGCAAAAATTTGAAGAAAATGAGGCATTTACTATGAAAATCTAAAGAAGATGTATTGTCCGAGGGAGAAGAAAGACATCTGAAAAAAAAAATGGGAGATTCTTGGAAATGCCTGATAACTCAGTTTTTAGGGACATACATCGTTCTTGGGAGAAAAATAACTGGACAGGAGAAACCAACCTCCTGTTACTACCTTTTTGCTAAGTCTTTGAGGATATAAAGAGGACATGCTGTCCAAGCGATACGTCTGGAAAGAGAGGAACTCCCTATATGGCTCAGTCTTTGAGGATTTAAAAACATGTTGTCCGAGGAGGGAGAGGACAGGCACTGTGAGAGAAGGGAGAGGAGAATGAGGGACGAGCGAGGTAGTGGTCATTCCTTTTTTTTTCTGAAGAATTTCTGCTTACGCATTTGACAACCCGATTGTAAAAAAAACGTCGATAACCGAGAAAATTTCTTTTCAGAAAAAAAAAAAAACACTGCAAAGGTAGTTCTACCGGAGGATAGTGGTGATTTTTTCCCGCTTTTGTTCCCTTAACGAATTTATTCTGTCCAGTAGTCTAGTTAAGAGAGCACAGGGACTGTAGTGGAGGAGGAAGAGGCAAGGGGAGAACAAAAAAAAAAAAATTATTATACTTCTCCCTTTCAAAAGTAAACCCGCACCTTCTTAAAGAAAATACAAAACTTCGCTGTTTCCTCAAAAAATGGTAGCACTTTTACATGTTGCTTTACAGTATCCTTAACAGCCCAATTTTTTGTAAGAGGTGGAAGTATAAAGAAGTAACCCGAATGATAATACAGTAACCATCCCGGATGACTACTTCTTTTGCAAAACTAGTTCTAACTTCTTCAAAAATATCGAATATACTACTCGAACGAATTAAAATATCATAAAAGAACTAGCTTATGAACTTAAATCAATGAACCGAGTTTAACAGCAGATATCATTTGCTATCAGTTAGTAATTTTATAATTTGTAATTTTTTTACGATACATTCATTCATTTCAAATGATAAATTGGTCAAACCCGGCATCAGCCTGCCTCTAAGCAATTCTCGAAAGACGGAGCCATCAATAACCTTACCAGTAAGTGATTATGCTGCTGGTACTTGCTCCAGCCGGTTACGTGTATTTTGGTAAATTAAAAAAGCTCTTCTTTATCGTTTTCAAAAAATTATATTTATACCGCTTTACCGGAAAAACTGACCCCTCCCTCAACCTCCTTTAAAAAATCCCATCCGAACAATCATCCTATTTATCTTAGGACTATCGGAATTGCTCAAAAAAATGTGCTTACTGGATAAACGAAGACTGATTGAGGCAACTCGTAAATATACAGGGCAGAGAAGAAGAGGAGGCGAACGAGAGAACACAAATTCCCAGCCAAAGTACTGTAGGAGGGATAGACGAATGAACTGAATGCTGCGTTGTTGTTTCGAAAATACCATAACAAATTTGTAATTCGTCAACATAACTGATTACTCGTTTATACTTTTACACTCCACTTCTTAAAATGAGGACGCAATTCTCCGACCCACTGAAAGATGTTTGCTAATGCCATAAGACTACTTGGATGTCAATCAACGGTCTTGGTACTTTTGGTATCGCAGATGGCTCACGATGGAAGGATCGAACGACTGCGCTCAGTAGATGGATCCAGGACGAGCTCCTGGAGGGGTGGGAGAGGGGAGGGGGAAGGAGAGTGGAGGGATAATCCTCTCTCACCTTGGAACTATGCCAAAATCAGGGACAGGGTTGTAACACTGCCACTTAGAGTTATGACAAACAGTTTTTGAACATTTGCAACACCACTATCTTCTTTACCTTATTTTATTTCCCTCTCCCTTCCAATCGAATTAAATGGCCACCGGATTTTACATCGACGCCGTCTTATAGACGGCCTATTCAGAGTCATCCAGTACCGGTCAGCCCTTACTGATTCCTACTTCTTTTCGCCCACAGGACCTAAACGGCCCGTGCGGTCTTTTATTTTAGTTCAGAGTTATTTTAGGCTTCAATTTAGTTTTAGCTTTAGACCCGGACTTT